TATTGACCATTTATTGGCCCTAAGGACCTGTTCTATGGATAAACGGATTAAAATAATAGCGGAATTACGAAATATGTTTTGAACTTCTTGATGGTGTTACTTCGCTTGGATATTACAGTTTATAGTGCTACCTCGCTGTATGTCATTTGATAGTGTTATCTCCCTGACAGTCCCGATGTGATGGAGACGGGAACTATTTCAAAGCACCACCTCGTGGTGTGTCAGTTAATAGTGCTATTTCCCAGACAGTCCCGATGTGATGGAGACGGGAACTATTTCAAAGCACCACCTCGTAGTATGTCAGTTAATAGTGCTATTTCCCAGACAGTCCCGATGTGATGGAGACGGGAACTATTTCAAAGCACCACCTCGTGGTATGTCAGTTAATAGTGCTATTTCCCTGACAGTCCCGATGTGATGGAGACGAGAACTATTTCAAAACACCACCTCGTGGTATGTCAGTTAATAGTGCTATTTCCCTGACAGTCCCGATGTGATGGAGACGGGAACTATTTCAAAGCACCACCTCGTGGTATGTCAGTTAATAGTGCTATCTCCCAGAGTCACCAGGTGATTGAGACTGGAACTATTTCAAAGCACCACCTCGTGGTATGTCAGTTAATAGTGCTATCTCCCAGAGAGTCACAAGGTAATTGAGACGGGAACTATTTCAAAGCACCACCTCGTGGTATGTCAGTAAATAGTGCTACCTCCTAGGGAATCCCGATGTGATAGAAACAGGAACATCTCTATAGCGTCACCTCGTCGTATATTAGTTTATAGTGATACATTGTACCTCCCAAGGGAGTGCCAATGTGAAAAGGGGCTGATTTTGTTTATTTATCTCTCGCTGTTTTATATCAATGGTATACCCTATTATCAGTTGAGAACAACACGTTTATAGAGCATCCACCTCAGCATCCTTTCAACTGCTAATAGGAAAACCACACATGATATTTCAGGTTAATCAAATTAATCAAGTATTACTTAATCTGGAAACAGCAAAAGCGTCTATTAACACGAATCGTTTTTACATTTCGGTGTTACTTTAACCACCACCTTCCGCCAGTTTAAATATGTTGAGGAGAAAGTGGTCAATTTTACTGGAACTGTAATGCAAGGAACAAACTGGACGTTTGTACAGTGTCGAACACATCAATGACGATATATACAGGCTTCAATATAACGATACCTCTTAGCGTACGAAGTCGAACACATCAATGACGATATATACAGGCTTCCATATAACGATACCTCTTAGCGTACGAAGTCGAACACATCAATGGCGGTATATACAGGCTTCCGTATAACGATACCTCTTAGCGTACGAAGTAAAACTACGATCGCCTTACATGGTATGAGGATAGTTGGTAAGTGTTGTTCATTATTAGATCATTACCAGCTTCTTACGATAATGAATTACGAACTCATATGCAAAATAAAACGGCGCCTTCGATTTAAATTATCAATGAATGGCGGGCGCCCTACTGGTGCCCTCTGCAGTAATTGCAAGAACGGAAATGTCAAACTAGCTCATTGGAAAAGTCTTAAGTGGGATGCTTAAATCGTTGTACACGTAGGATCTAATACAATAAAGACTTGTCAAACTTTTTAGTCTATTATGTCAAGAAGTTAATATTCCTAAAGATAATAGTTTTGAAGTTTGAGTATACACGAGCTGATTCCATGTCTTGCTTCAATCTTGGTCGAAAATCTAAAGAAATTGCAGTATTAGGTACTTTCATCTTGACAAGGAGTGGTGAAAATTTGGAACGAAGCATTTTGTTTTCTGTTACAAAATAGCGACCGTCCGGTGCTTAGATCCACATCTATCAGAGTAGCGTTCACTTTGTATCCCTTCGTAGCAGTAGTGTGTCCGACAAACAATACATTTCTTGCATTGATTGGCGCTTCTTAACAAGAAATCTGAGTATTGTGTCTTCGGGAATGAACAAGCTTTTGGGGACAAAGGTAAAGGAGACTGGCAACCTTCGGTATGTTTAGATAGACACAGAAAAACGCAAGATTCACAGATTGATAGCACAAGATGAAAACACAAATTGCCTCCGACGCCAAAAGTCAAAAACCCGCGCTTATTAGCATATACAGTACCAAATCATTAGCAGGCGTTAAATTCCTTCTCGCGGGCATCCGACAGATAGGGCCTTTTCAGACAGTGGTTCATTGTAAAATCTACGACGAATCCGAAATCAAACTGTTTGGAGTTGAATTCCAAGTCTGATCTATAGAAAAATATTTGATTGAAATTTCTGTACGTAAAGAAAAACGTTAGTTAATTTATGTCAGCGTGAATACTGTCTAGACGTCAGCCTAACGTAACAGATGGGAGCTATAACGTAAATGGATATTGTTGTCGTTATGACGGAGTATGGTACTTGACAAAATGCAGCCTGCATTTTATCATTGATCCGGGAAATAAATGTTGCATACAAGCAAACTTCTCTATTGCGTAACATCGTTTATCTTTAACCGAGAGTTGATGTCATGTAGCTGCAATCAATGTGCATGTGACACATGCAATTTAGAATGTGGTAACCTACGCGTGCAACAGGATTTTCTGTTCGCCTCAACATTTTATTGGATTCGTTTAACTACATGCCAGACTGGCATTTTATCTTTAACCAAACGATACATAATACATTATATAATGATTTAATGTAATATAAACAGCATGAAATAAGCTTAAACCCGGGAATCTGTTAATGGGTTTTCTACATTTAATTTCGGCTTTAATTGAGCCCCTAAAGGTAATACTGATATATAACATTGCCTTTTACGAATATATTGTCGTTTAAACGGGAAATTGGCCAACTAAAAGCTTGCCTTTTGTATTCAGCTTGTAGTCTGTTGGTATTTTAATAATGATTTTCGTTCATATATGAAGAAAAAACCGAGTGGTATCAATAACCGAAAGATTCGGACTCTCTTCAGACGCTTCTGTCAACAATGAATTCTTTCTTTCAGTCTTTCAGATCAGCGTACAGGTACACATTAATGCAGCTTTCTAAACTAAATCAAACCAGAGAATAACTTTCAAATAAGACAATATTACTAATCGTTGTGCATTGTATGTCGATGTGTCTTTGTGTTTTGTCAGTGAATAATTTAAACTGGTGATACGATAGCATTGTATTATGTTTGTGGCTCAACTATCGTTGAACGAAATAAAGTATAGTTCTCCTCAAACAAAATAAGTTATTGTACATTTGTGCTCCATCGCCATACAGTTTGTTATAAAATGGACACTAAAGGGAATAGAAAATAATTGATATTTGGCTTTTACCAGATTCCTTACGTTTTAATTATCCCGGAACATTTACCATACTGGCATTTTGTAGTAGTTATGTTTTAGGAACTAAGTGGGGCTATCAGATTACTCGAGTAAAGACGATAATATGCCGAGTTCCGGACTCAAGAGGGCAGTTAGTGTACACTAGCTAGCATTAGGGTTTCAATTTTCGTTTATGATCCATGTTTTGAATGGATGCCAAATAAGTCCGCAAGGAACGCTTCAAAAACTATTATTGGAAAAACCCATTATTCGCCGACATTGGAAAAAATCTATCTAAATGACAGAGTTCATGCAGACGTGCTTAATCAATAAATAGGATAATATCGCTAGCTTCATAAAAAAAAACACATATCAAATGATGAGTATGTGTTAACAAATGAATAAAATGTCATATTCCATGTCACAGACTTCTGAGTTTATCATAAGTCTAGAACAGAAACAGGTTATATAGTGGACACGTAGCCTAAGTCTTCAAGAATGACCTGGAGAAGCGTGTGTATTTTCAAGAACTCTTATCGAGTGATATTGAAGATCTTTAATTGATTTACATTTATTTGAGCTGGTGAATTTTATCAGGATGTTTTCTTTATTTAGGGAATGACTTGGCTTAAAGAATACACTTACGATGAGTGATTACAAATATAACCACCGTGCCTAATGAACTTTCAACCATATAACCAAACCATTGAGTGCAGAGTTTACCATTGAAGTTACAAAAACGGGCAGATATTTTGAAATCACCATTAAACCACCTGATCTCAAAGGCAGAATACACGTTTACATTTGCACACACGAAAGCAGGTTCCTAACTTACATTTGCTATCAAAAGTTAAATAAGATTCAGCATTTAGGGTAATGGCAACAACTGGTTTATCATTTGTCATTATAATGTGACCAGGTGAAACATTGTGCTGGGTGTTTCAGTGAGGTAGCGCTAAACAGTCAGCATCAATTCCGCGATATCACAAGGAGACATATACACTTAAACACCGCCTACAGTAAACATACACACTTGCACACATACATAACACGCATGAAGTAACGTCCTTAAATGACGACAGCTGTTAATTGGACGTTAAGTAAAATACAACCAAACTTCTTTTACTCTCAAGTTAATATGTTTGGCTTATAAAAAATAATGAGTTTACAATCCTCTATGAAATTATATATATACCCGCTTAAATGTACATTTCCATCACCGTTTTGCTTTGTTTTGCACAGATTGTTGTAAGATCAAGGCGATACATTTTATTTTAGGTGAAAAGGCTGAAATACAAACCATTAACAACAAAAAGCTTACAGCCAACACGATAGCAATGTCACCTACAATGTGTCCGTGTTTAAGAACAATTTTACCTGTCGACTCTACCATCACCGTACCTTACACATACATTTTCTAAGACGTTTACGTAAGATGTTTAAATACATTCTGTATCGTTGGTATGATTTCAAATAATAGAAGAGGGTAACAATAGATTACGAGCAATATTAATTAGTCGAGTGATGGCAATGACTCGTGTAGTAAGAGTAGAATGTCAGGTACATCCGCTGCCAGGGTGCTCACGCGTCTATCGTCGTACTATCACGCGTAGGCACAGTATACTGACGTGAGTTGGCAATTCAGCCCATCGTATACATAAACATTTACTGGTCGAGAAAAGTATTATAACTATCAAGATATACTTACGCATGGCGTCCATGACCTCGTCGAAATTACTGTAAGAAGTGATATCGGCCTTCCATTTGTTGAGAAACTGTTCCACCATGATTAAGTTCTATTTTTTTCCCACACTCGTAAGATCTAAACACAGAATGTCCAAAGTTGACCGTCCCTGTTGCTTATATAGCCCTCGTCTGTGGCGGCTGTGTGGATTGCTGGGGATCGACACTAAAATATGCGTGTCTACGGGGCTTGTTTTACGGCAGCCAATCGGGCGATTAGCACCACTGACAAACGTATGTGCACAATTGTTAAACGCGAAATTAGCTTAACAATAATTAAACGTGATATTTTAACCTAGCACATTTACAAAAATATTGAATTGACTTTTTATATTACTTAAAGCTGCATTAAAACCAGTCATCCGAACATGAGAGGAGGGGGAGAGGGAGGGGCACAAAGTATCTTCTAAATAACACATGTTCAAAAAAATTGTTAATAATTCTGTAAGCAAACAAGACTTTGATCATTGATCCCTTCTCAGTTGCAGCAAGCATTGTTAGCTTCATGACACATAACGCTAAAGTTCAAAATGTGTGATTTGTTCCTTCGTATCTTTTTACAAGCAAATTATGCTTGCCTGTGAACGACAATGACTTCGATAATAAAATTGATGTATTCGCACGTTAACAAAAAAGAACAATCTTAGTGTACTAATTGATAAAGCTATCGCGGCTTGGTACAGCTGAATCAGACCGGATACAATATGTGAGACAGAACAATCTAATGCCGCTCTGTGCATAGATGCAAAGACTTTATACATACATACCAAAGGATAGCCTCATAGCAAAGTGACGATACACGTTTTTTAGAAATGTAAATCTTGATTTAGTAGCACTTGAGATATCGATTACATCACCTCGGTGTCTGGTTTTGATTTTATTTGGTTTAGCGTCCTACAATTGATTTAATTGATTTCTGAGGTTATCTGAGGATGTGTCTCAATTTGTGTAATTTCTGCGTTCACAGTATATGCGTGCTTAAAACAGAAGGTAGCTGTATATGACTTCTTGCGATTGTACAGTTGGTTGCACAGGGTTTCACGTCCTATAAACATATAGGGTCATTTAAGGACGTGCCTCCATGTTTATTGTGTATACTTGCTTACGCGTATGTGTGTAGAGGACAGGTATGATGGTGGAATTGCCTCAGTGTTGGAGCTTTATAGTGTACCTCACTGAAATGCCATATCGATGGCAACCAGCGCTGCTTTCAGCCCAGTCATATTATACTGAAAACGGTTGAAACAGTTGTTGCCATTACCATTAAATGCTGAACGTAAAGCAGTGAATAACAACTACCTGTTTTTAGGACTACGGCGTGTCGGGGCCGGGGGACATAACCCATTTCCCTGCTTACCTGGGCGAACGTTCTACATTATAGCCAAAAGTGAGGTGTTGCCAAGCAAGGCGCTGGGAAATAAAAGGTTGTAAGAATTAAAGAAAAACAATTTGAAACGGTGCAGCGGATTTATTTTCATCGCTTTGGTGACCCCAAGTAGAGGGCACAGAAGGGAATCCCCAATTATGTTGGGGGTTCCCACATTGTCTCTTACGATATATGCAGTGGGAAAGAGCAGGTGTATTCTTTTCTCGATCCCTGACTTGCAGAAAACCGAAAACAAATTTCATAATAAAAGATGGCTGTCTGGTGGGCATCCTGTTTCTCCGATCACTCATGCACAACTCAGGGCCACTGCAAAGCTTCGTATGAAATTTCAGAAAGATTTCAAAAATGAGACATGCACAACTGAAGCAACATTAAAATACCATGTTTTCAGGACATATACTCCCATGGACGCACCCACAACTTACACGGAGGCACGTCCTTACATGACCTAAGCTGTTAATAGGACGTTAAACAAAAAAAAACCAAATTCATGTGATGTGAATGTCATGAAATAGCAGTTCAGATTTTTTTGAGTTATAGCCAGAACAAGAAATATAGACATATAGACAGACGACGGGCGAATGAATAACGCACTATCAAGAAACATCCGGTCTGGTACGGTTAAATTGTCCATCACACAAAAGATAACCTTCATTTCACATTTGTTTTATCATCCATAAGAGCCTGAAGTTGGTTCCTAGTTCCTAGTTCCGTTTAAGGTAAACGGAACTGGGAACCAGGCCCTAGTTCCGTTTAACGTAAACGGAACGGGGAACCAGACCCTAGTTCCGTTTAACATAAACGGAACTGGGTACCAGACCGGGGTCCGTATAGTAAACGTACTTTTTTTGGTAATTCTTTCCCTGTCTACTTCGCAAAGCGGAAGGTCAAAGGCCCGTAGTTATATTTGAATCAAGGACAGTAATCAGGGTCATACTCAAGTTACGTTTTTCCTTAAACGGAACTGGGAACCAGATCCCAGTTCCGTTCAACATAAACGGAACTGGGAATCAGACCGGGGGCCGGATAGTAAACGTATATTTTTTTTGGTAATTCTTTCCCTGTCTACTTCGCAAAACGGAAGGTCAAAGTCCCGTAGTTATATCTGAATCGAGGACAGTAATCAGTGTCATACTCAAGTTACGTTTTCCTTAAACGGAACTGGGAACCAGATCCCAGTTCCGTTCAACATAAACGGGACTGGGAATCAGACCGGGGTCCGTATAGTAAACGTATATTTTTTTTGGTAATTCTTTCCCTGTCTACTTCGGAAAACGGAAGGTCAAAGTCCCGTAGTTATATCTGAATCAAGGACAGTAATCAGTGTCATACTCAAGTTCCGTATAGTCAACGTATATGTTTTTCGTAATTCTTTCCCTGTCTACCTCGCAAAACGAAAGTTCAAAGGTGATGGTTATAACTGAATCAAGTTCAGGAATCGAACCCACAACCTTTCACACGAAAATTAAGACCACCATAGCCTCTATAAAGTAACTGGTCTTATACGGAACTGAGTGTCAGACTCCAGTTCCGTTTTCTTTAAACGGAACTGGGATCCAGACCCCAGTTCCGTTTAACATAAACGGAACTAGGAAACCAGACCCTAGTTCCGGAACTGGGAACCAGACCGGGGTCCGTATAGTAAACGTATATGTTTTTTTGTAATTCTTTCCCTGTCTACTTCGCTAAACGGAAGGTCAAAGGCCCGTAGTTATATCGGAATCAAGGACGGGAATCGAACCCACAACCTTTCACACGAAAATTAAGACTACCATAGCCTCTATAAAGTAATTGGTCTTATACGGAACTGAGATTCAAACGTTTTTACTTAAACGGAACTGGGAACCAGACCCCAGTTTCGTATATTAAACGATACGTTTTAAGCTCACGTGCCCGAAGAGCATGTGAGCTTATGCCATGGCGCGGAGTCCGTCGTCCGGCGTCCGGCAACCTTTCCTAAAAATCGCTACTTGTCATAAACGACTGAGCAGATTTTGACCAAATTTGGTCAGAAGCATCCTGAGGGAAAGGGGAACCAATTTTAAGGGAAACATAGCAAATTCTCTAAAATCTTCTTTTTCTGTATGAATGAAAGGATGTGTTCCATATTTGGTCTGAAGCATCCTTAGGTAAAGGGGAACCAATTTTGTATAAACCGTGGGTCTGGCCCCCGAGGGGCCTGAGGGGTGGGACCAAATATCGGAATCATAGCAAATTCTTTAAAATCCTTCTTATTCTGTAGGAATGAAAGGATTTGTTCCATATTTAATCTGAAGCATCCTTGGGTGAAGGGGAACCAATTTTGTTTAAACGGTTTGTGTGGCCCTCTAGGGGCCTGAGGGGCGGGGCCAAAAGTGGGCAATTTGACTGTATTGATTTAACCGACTTCTTCTCTGGAACTAAGAAATGGATATCAACAATATTTGACTGGAAGCATCCCTTTGTAATGGAGATTCAAAAAAAAAGTGGGCAATATGGCTATATTGCTATAAACGATCTCTTCTGTAGAATTTTGCCATGGATATTGATCATATTTGGTCAGAAGCATTCATGGGAGGCAGGGATTCAAAATTGTACAAATTGTGGGTCTGGCCCCACCCTTTGAGACATAGTCCCTGGGTCATTACTTTGAAACGGTTGAGATTCCCACCCCAAAACAATATAAACAAATGCTTGGCATAAAGAGACAAAAGTAGTCATGGTATTAGAATAGACCCTGGGGTCTGACCGAACCCCTAGGGACCTAGTTTCTAAGTCACAGCTTGGACACAGTTGAGAGCCCCATCCTATAACCATGCATATATACAATTGATGAGTATAAAGAGATGAATGCACATATGCTTCCAGGATGGCCTTGGGATTTGCCCCACCCTTGGAGACTTAACCCTTGGGTCATAACTTCGAAATGGTTAAGATCACCACCCCAAAATTTTATATACAATTGTTGGGCATAAAGAGACGAATGGAGTCGATCATGATATTAGAATTGATCCTGGGGTCTGGTCACAACCCTAGGTATCTAGTTTCTGAGTCACAGCTTGGAATCATTTGAGATCCCCACCCCATAACCATACATTAAATTGCTGGGCATGAACAATCTAATAAAGACATACTACAAGAATTGGCATTTGGGCCTGGCATATTCCTTTGGATCTCATTTGGAGAATATTTTGCCATGATTGCTTAGATATCAAGGTGAGCGTTACAAACCCTCTGGGCCTCTTGTTTGTAATTCTTTCCCTGTCTTCAAGGCGCATGGCTATATGTGAATCCAGTACAGGAATCGAACCCACAACCTTTCACACGAAAATTAAGACTACCATAGCCTCTACAAAGAAATTAGTCTTAAACGGAACTGAGATTCAAACTCCAGTTACGTTTCTTTCATCAAAGGTGGACAAACCTATTTCTTTTGTTCGGCTATTTTTTCGGTACTTGTTACTTATGCTATAATGTCGTGGCCACTACATCTTACGATTTGTGGCAGATACGATCATATTCATTCATGTATATTATATGTCATCATGGAAGGTGTTATTGCATCATCGTCAAGTACGTCAAACTTTTGATATGGTCGCCTTTACGTCATATGTCATATGTCAAAATCTTTAAACGGACAGAAGTCAAAAACCGTTTATCATACAGCATTTTTATGTAGTTATAACATTTGATGATATCGTTCTGGGTTTTTTTATTACTCATTACGTGTTATTAGAAAAAATGTTAAATTAAGATCCTTCCCGTCGGGTCAAAGGTCACCAATCGAAGTTTTTTGAACATTCCTTTTGCAGTCAACGGAGAATCACAA